CTTTTGAACAGTGGCTGCTTTGTTTCCCCAATGTATAACTGGTCGGAGTCCTCCTGGCACTTAACAGCATTTACAGAGTAGCAGTCACACGGAGGCAGGGCTTAAAAGCCTGAATTTTGCCTGAAACTCTCAGGCTGAAGAAGTCTCTTGGAGGAGAGACGAAACGTTTCATTAAAGAAGAACCCGTCCAGAAGACCTATACAATTTTTTTCTTTTTGATTTTTTACCTGGATTACTGAGATGCATCAGGACATTATGTTAGAAAGGTTAACAGACACCACAAGGTGTTGATACACCATCAATTTGAGTGTATAAATCTATCTCTGAGCCTCAGTGGTGAGTAAAAWAAGTATAATGGTGTCAACCTTCACACACCAGGACATACCTCTCACTCATGGTGTCGAGTTTTGGCCAATAACAAAAACTTAAAGTTGAACAACTTGATCAAACTAAACAAGAAAACTAACCAGAACAACTAATTTTTACTCTCATGAACTTCTTTAATAGTCATAAACATGCAAAAACATAATTTCTGCAAGATTTCTCAGCAAAGAATGCTGGGTAAATACTGGTCTGTCTGACATGAGGTGGAAGAGGGCGGGGCTTTTCAGAAAACTGCTTTCAACACTGCATGGTGTCATATAACAACAAAAGACTTAACTGTGGGCGGAGCTTATTTAACACTGTCCTGTGTTGTCAACACTGAGGAAATCAACACTGTGAATTAACACCAACACTGGGTGTAAGTTTACTCAGAAAGTGTTAAAATAACACTAGGGGGTGTTAAATCAACACCATATATGTTTACACTGAAATTTTAACACTCCTGTTTTTGCTGTGATCTAACCCAGATGTGCCCAAAGTGGGGCCCGCGGGCCAAAATTGGCCCACAGAGCCATTTGATTTGGCCCACCAGCAGTTGTCCTGGTTATTAGATTGTAATTATGTTAAGATTAAATATAAAATACAAGAGACATTTGGATTAGATTTAAGCCCATATAAAGATTTGCACACTTTAGAAGACCCCGTACACTCAAATTTTAAATTATGAAAAATCCCATGAGTCTTTGCTGCCAGGAAAAATGTTTTTTTTTTTTTTTTTTAATTTTGGCCCTCTCAGCGAAAATGTTTGGGCACCCCTGATCTAACCACTCTCTGGAGCGATACCGATCCGGTTAACCTCCTCTGTCTGCGCTGCAAAACCTTCAGCCCTGACTAAAAAGACTTTTATTATCTCCAAATAAAATTTAAGTTGGCATGCTTCTTAAAGCTGTCATCAACAATGGGCTTCCACAGAGCACCTGATGCAGCTCTGCTCCAAATGGAAAGTGAAATCTTGATCCTTTTCATGAGTTTGCAGCTGTGACCCAGGCACAGAAATCATAGCTGAGAAGGTTGTAAACTTGTGTGAAGGATTAAACAGGTTACTACAGATAGTCCACACTGGGTTTGAGTGACCCTGTCAGTTTGTCGGTATCTCACTGTGAACTTTGTCACGCCTGCGTGGATACGAGCTACGTGTCCTCTCTGACTCAGCGGGATGATTTGTGTCTTCCTGCAGCTCTTACTGGTAGAGTTCAGATATGTGAGGAAACACAAGCAGGACAGACTTGTTCCAGCTCTGACACTGAGCTATTTTTAGCACTTCTGCATGCATTGTTCACAAGGGCACTAGTTTAAATGTTTGTTAGAAGTGTTTGAGCTACTTTACAAAACATTGTAATGAATTTATGGCTTTGTCAAAGGAGGCACATGTTATAATAGCCCACATTTGATGTGTGAGGACTGTGTCAGGCAGGAACAGGATGGAAACTCCCTTCATATTTCCACTTTGTTTGATGTGGAAGTTGTTTGAGGTGTTATATGCAGCAATTTGACAGATCTACATGTACTCTGCATTTCACAGCTTTCTTATTTTTAAATTGCATTTATTCAGGACCAGGATTGGATCCCTGACAATGTTTTTGTCAAGGAACCGGAAGTAGACAGAATTTATATGCACTGCTGAGAACAGAGCATG